AGTTGGGGGAGTGGAAGGAGGAGGGAACATAAGAACAGCCATACTGGGTCAAACAAAGGTCCATCTAGCACAGCATCCTGTTTTCTGGCAGCAACCAATAGCAAGTGCTCCAGGGGGAGTGAACAGAACAGATAATCAAGTGACTGATCTCGTGTTGCCCAGTCTCAGCTTTTTGGCAAACAGGCTAAGGACACCAGCCCTGCCCATTCTGGCTAAAGGAGGGAGGGATTTGGGAGCCTCCCATATATGCGGACACTAGCTGACCAGGAAGTTGGGGAAATTCTCCCCTCCCCCCATGTGTCCCTGCAACCCCACTCAGCTGCCATGCACACATCTCATCTGCATCTGCAGGTCACACAAGCTCAGTGGAGTAGAATTCTCCCAGTCTTAAATCCCCTCAAGAATTTCTAGAGATGACTGCTTAATTTCTTCCTCCACAGCAGAATATTGTTCTATGCTGTTATATGGTGAATTGAGCTGGCACCATTGCTGTAGACAAGCTAGTGATATGCAAACTCAGATGGTTTTGGATTTTTGGTAGCATCTGTATTAACTGCCTTTATGATTCTCAGAGAAGAGAGGTCAGCTGATATCATCCCTGCCTGTGGAAAATAGTGCCAATATTTAATACCATTGCCATAGAACAAGAACCAAAATTATATAACTTTGTTCACCCAAAATCCTCCTACCTTATCACTAGTGGGCCACATTCACTGTGGTTGGAGTTGGTGGGCAATGCTGAGCCACAGAAAGTGTTTATGAGAACAAGGGAAGAGAGTCTTGATGAAATACCTTACCTTTTCCACTGTCCACATTTTCCAATGGCACATTGTTTGTTTTTTAATCCCACCTCAGGTATGATCATCTTGTGCTCCCCACCCCCTGCAATGGTCAACCTTGACGAGGAGGGGGAAGAGCACTAGGCAGGACATGTTCTGTGAGATCCGACATGCCAGTTATACACTGGACTGTGAACAAAAGGCTTGAAGGCCTTACATGACAACCGCATGGATAAGGAAAAAGTAGGAAAAGTGAGGGAAATGCACCACCACTTCAGGCAGCAAACCCAACAGCTACAGATTTTGGGTCCACCCTCTCCCCCCAAAAATGCTTGACCCTTTGCAATCCTTGGACAACTTCATTGTTGCTGTTTACTCATCTCCCACTCCCACCCCCACAATGTTCTTAGCATCATGGGCTGCATTTTTACCTTGAGCACTCCATCCTGGGAGACAGAAAGGAAGACCAGTTTCACATACACTGGCTTGTGTGCACCACAGTTGATGCATGTATTAGGGATGTGAAGGACTAGTCAACTGTCCAATAAGCAAATGCTTATCAGATAGTTGACCAGTGTGTTGACTAGTTGCTTCCCCACCTCTCTTCACTGCCTTTATTAGAAAGAGGCTGCAAGAGGCATGGGGGAAGAAGAGGAGAAGGGAGTGCTTCAAAGCGGAATCACCGCATGGAGCCCAGGGTCTGCTGCTTTGAAACTCTGTATGCAGCTCTAGTTGCACACTGTTTCAAAGCAGCAGAGCCATGTGGAGTCCAGGGTCAGCTAGGGACTGCTTGAGTCCCCTATTAGCCCTGTGCTCCCTGCAGTGCTGTAGACTTTGAAGTGTAGCAACAGCCTTGGAGCACCTTTATCGACTAATCGAATAGTCAATGCAGATTGTATCAACTATTGAATTAGCCAATGAATCGAAATTCTGCATCCCTAGCATGTATAACCACATTTATGTACTCAAATTGACATAAATATTTACTTCCCTTCCAGTTTTAAAGTTGCACTCTGAATGTATTAAACTTGAATAATATTGCTTATGATTATTTTGCATGCTGTTTTAGTGCATTTTTTTGCCAGTCCAAGTTGCATTTTTTTGGAGAATCAGATTTGTCTTTATTAGTTCAGAACACATACTGTAGAATACATGGATTGGAAAGCACAGAAAAAAGATCCAATGCTTGCATAAGCATGGTAAAGTCACCCTTTCTGTTTATGTAGTCTGTGGCAAGATGAATTGGTTCCAAAAGAAGGATGTGTACATGCTTACCTGTTGCCCCATGGCAGTTCAAGAACCCCATTACTGCAAATCATCCCTTTATTCCTGCACATTGCTGAGTCAGTCCTGCATAGAGGGTTAATGGCCTTAAGAACGGCCATATTGGGTCAGACCAAAGGTCTATCTAGCCCATTATCCAGTATGCCAAGAGTGGCCAATACCGGATTCCCCAAAGGGAGGGAACACAACAGGTAATCAGCACATGATCTGTCTCCTGTCATCCATTTCTAGACAGGCTAGTGGTACCATTCCTACCCATCCTGGCTAATAGCCATTGATGGCCCTAACCTCCATGAATCTATCTAACTCACTTCTGAACCCCGTTAAAGTCCTAGTCTTCACCACATCCTCTGGCAAGGAGTTCCAGATGTTGACTCTGCACTGAGTGAAGAAATACTTCTTTTTTGTTTTGTTTTTGAACCTGCTGCCTATTAATTTCATTTGGTGACCCCTCGTTCTTATATTGTGGGAATAAGTAAATAACTTTTCCTTATTCACTTTTTCCACACCAGTCATGCTTTTATAGACCTCTATCATATCCCCCCTTAATCTCCTCTTTTCTAAGCTGAAAATTCGGAGTCTCTTTTTAATCTCTCTTCATATGGGATCCGTTCCAAACCCCTAATAATTCTTGTTGCCCTTTTCTGAACCTTTTCTAATGCCAATATATCTTTTGAGGTAAGGTTACCACATCTATATGCAGTATTCAAGATGTGGGCGTATCATGGTTTTATATAGAAACAATAAGATATTCTGTCTTATTCACTATTCCTTTTTTTAATCATGCCTGGTATTGTCTGCTTTTTTGACTGCCGCTGCACACTGAGTGGATGTTTCGAGAGAACTATCCACAGTGACTTCAAGATCTTTTTCAAGTAGTTGTAGCTAAATTAGTCCCCATCATATTGTATGTATAGTTGAGATTGGAAAAAATAATGTGCATTACTTAAAATTTTTCAACATTAAATTTTATTTGCCATTTTGTTGCCCAATCACTTAGTTTGGTGAGATCTTTTTGAAGCCATACATACTTGCAGGACATCTGTCCTCACTTTTTTTTTTTTTTTTTTTTTGGCTGCAAAATGATTTCCTACTAACCAGTAAGAATTTGATGTTACAAGCGTCCACAGTGCAATCATTACTAACTTCCGTCAACACAGCTCTCATTCTGCTGTCCCTGTGTTGGAGAGCTGGGGCGACCTGGGTTCACAGATCAAAGAAATATGTATTTTCAAATCTAAAACTTTTGCAGTCACTACATTTCCCAAACCTGCATTACAGTGTGAGTCCACTCATCAGTGCTCTACCCTCTGTAGCTCCTTTGAGAAAGCAAAAAAAGGTTGTTGGAGGCAATGTCCCTCAGCATACTGCCAGTGAAGAAATTGTAAGGTCCTCCTATGGTTGCAGTATTTTCTGCAGGTTTGCAAATCAAGGAGTGCTGTATGTTCTGCATTTGCCACATAGAATCATGGAAGCTTCAAAACTTTTGCACTGTCAGAGATGGTGGACATGGAAAAGTAAATGGATTTGTATGCATTTTTTTTAAACATGAAATTATCTGATACGGATGGCTTAATGGCACTGAGAAAGTTGCATGCTGGGAACTTGATGCTCAGCTCCTAGAAATCACTGGGTGAATAATTTTTATTCAGTACAAAGATGTCCCCAAAAGAATTGCACCAGACAATGGCATTTGGCACACTAGGTATCTATCCATTGTGCACTTCTCCATTGACAAAAGTGCTCTTGCTGAGCATGCGCAGCACCAGTGGAAGCAAGTAGGTATATACCTGTCCAAGTGATGTGCAGAATTTGGCTGCTGTATGCCAGTGTAATTTGCATTGATCATGGTTTGTAGAGTAGAGATGGCTTCAGCACTACTCTTGACAGTGGTTAGTAACAATTATCAGAGATGTAGCTGCGTTAGTCTCTCTGCAAAATCAATGAAGAGTCCTGTGCATCTGAAGTGGGTTTTTTCCCAGGAAAGCTTATGCCCAAATATATCTATAAATCTTTAAGGTGCCTCAGGACTCCAGTGGTTTAGTTACAAAGACATTGCATAGTTGAAGTTTTAATAAGCCTTTCAACCAAAAAACTTCTGTAGTATTTAGGCTTACCTTGTTAGTAAGGGATAACTGCTCTTCCCTGTTGGTCAGCATGTGCCTTTGTCATAAGAACAATAGGAGTTTGACAGCAGTCTGGGACCCTGATAACTCCAAGATAGAAAAAACTTTGTATCCACATGAAGAAGAGGGGTAGTTCTGAAGACCAAAGCTACACCCTTAAATAAGGGCCAGCAGAATAGAAACTTAGTTTTATATGTGGAAAAGCAGTATAACACATTCTTCCAATTGACTTTTTACTGACCTCAAGCAAGAAGTTGCATGCAAGTTGGAGAATAAAATGTACAGTAGTGAATAATTGACTAAAGGTTCATAATATTGGTAGAGTCCTTCATATCTTTTTCACTAATAGAATGTGGATGTTCTCTAGATAGGTAGAACAGGTTTTCTCTTTGCCTCCTGAAAATGTATAAGACCACCTAAGATATACCTAAAGTGGTATGAGGAGACAGTGACTCTCTGTACTCGCCCTTGCCATGGCACTAATACCGTTTGCCGGGCTGTAGATGCTCATCGTTATCAAGGCGATCCAGCGGCAGAGGTGCATCCCGTTTCTCTTGGTCTCCATCTCGGCATGGTGATACCTTGGTCTAGCACCATTCACCAGACTTGAGGAGCGTTGTTGGGGCACAGAAGTTCCCGCTGACACTCCAGGTGGCTGCAGTCTCGTCAGTGACGGAAATCTGGCACTGGAAAGGCTGCTGCTCCCACTTGTCCTCTTTGAGTATCGGTAAGCATCCACTCTGGTAGTGTGGTGTTGACTGTGGCCTCCATCCTCCCGGCAGAGCAGACTGCACAACAGACTGCACCGTTGACTTCAGTGCCGCCAGTACTGTCGCAGAGCACACCATGGCCACGGGCTCAGTGGTGCCCGTTGACTCCCTGGGTTTAGCCCCAGGTTACTTGTTCAATTGTTGATCCATCCCAGGCCTCATCAGTGCTGACAGGGCCTAGGGGACCCTAAGGAGATATGGGCACACCCTCTTCCTCTGCTCTCCACCCCACACCAGGAGATGGGTGTAGACAATCAGCCTCACCAAGATGAGGAAGCCCAGCTAGCCCCTGCCTCCTCATCCCCAGATGAGGTGATCGTGTTGTTCCCCCTGGCGGATTCTCAGGAGGACTCGAATGCCCACCAGGACCTACTCAGGAGGGTAGCCAATGGGCAGGGCCTCCAAGCTGAGGAGGTGAAGGAATCGTCAGACTCACTGTTCACAGTCCTGGGTCAAGTGGACCCAGGCAGGGTGGCGTTGCCCCTACGTGAGGTGGTTGCCAAAATTGCCATGGTGCTCTGGCAGACACTCTCCTCCTTTCCACCAATAGCCAAGAAGCAAAGCAGAAGTACTTTGTGCCAGTGGTGGACCACGGCTATCTTTATACCAACCCACCACCAAGCTCCCTCATGGTGGAGTCTGAACCACAGGGAGTGCAAGGGCCAGCCAGCACTCACCCCTAAGAATAAAGACTGTGTGTGGAAGGAAGGTCCACTCTTCAGCCAGCTTCTACCTGAGGATGGTGAACCACTAGGCCTTGTTTGCACCACATGGTATGAACACAGGGAGGTGCTGGCAAAATTTGAGGCCTCCTTGCCCAAAGTGTGTCTCAAGGAGTTTCAAGACCCTTGTTGAAGAAGGTTAGTCAGTGGTTCTGGTAGCTCTACAAATGGCATCAATGCTGCAGACTTGGTGGCTCGATCCATGGCTTTCAACATTTGTATTAGGTAGGTGGCCTGGCTGCTCCTGTTAGGTCTGTCCCTGGAGGCACAGAACTCTATTCAAGACCTGCCATTTGTCACAGGGGCCCTGTTCACAGAACAGATAGACACAACGTTGCACAGGCTTAACGACTACTGCGTTACCTTGAAATCCTTTTGGGCCTCTGTGTTCCTGGGTCTGAGGAAATGGTTTAAGCAACAAGTCCCCCCCAAAAGAGGCCAGTACCCTCACCTAGAAAGGGCCCCTTCACTCTCTAAGCCTCTGACATGAAAGCAAGGCCACTGTCCTTTATCTGGCCTGCAGTTGACCAGCCAGCCCAAGTCCCAGGGCAAGTGCTCCTTTTTGTGGGTGTACCCGAAGATGACATACTGGAATCCCAGGATCCTGCCTGCCTATTCTCAGCCAGGCTCCATCCCTTCCTCCTGGAATGGATGGAAATTACATTGGACCATTGGGTCCTGGCCACTGTCTGATATAGCTACACCCTCCAGCTCTTGTCTCTTCCCCTCACTCCCGCTCCCATCCCTCTTCAGGGACCCCTCTCGCAAGCAACTCCTTGAACAGAAGCTGTCCCATTTGTTCCAGGTGGGAGCAGTGGAGGGGGTACCACGTGAGTTCAAGAACGGGTTTCTACTCTCGATACTTCCTTATTCCCAAGGCCAACAGGGACCTCCGGGGCCTCAACAAATATTTGGCCCACTTCAGGTTCTGTATGGCCTCCCTGGCCACCATTCTCCGCAATATGAATACTGGGGGCTGATAGGCATCTTTGAGGTAGAGTGCAGCATATTTCCACATCGTCATCTTTGAGGGCCACAAGCGATTCCTGAGATTTGTAGTTGTAAGAAAACCCTTCCCTTTGGTTTGTCTATGGCCCCCAGCGTCTCTACCAAGTGTGGTGGTGGTGGCAGCATACCTAAGGCCTTGGGGGGTCCAGGTGTACCCTTACTTGATGATAGGCTAATCCAGAGGCCATCCAACAGGTAGATTCAGTGGGATGTCCACCGCCTCCTGAATGTGCTGTTGGTTTGGCCTCCTAATAAATGAAAAGAAATCCTTCTTGGTGCCCAGCCAGAGGATAGCGTTTATAGAAGCAGTCCTGAACTGCACTACAGCCAGAGCATCACTCCTCCAAGAGAGGACAGAGAGCACTTTGAATCTAATTGATCAGCTCATGGTCATCCTCATGTCTATAGAATGAGTGTATTTACAGATCCTGGGCCATATGCCCGCTTGAACATATGTGGTACCTCTGGCCAGGCTCAGAATAAGGCCCCTCCAGCTGTGGTGGGCGTCAGTTTATGGCCCAGCAAGGCACCTTGAACAGATAGTGATGGTGGCACCCAGGGTCCTGTCGGCCCTGGCCTGGTGGATGGCCCAAATGGCATGCCCAACAGGACCTGCATACCATCTTCGACTGCATTCCAGGGAGCTGACATATCAGACTGCAGTTGGGGAGTCCACATGGGCACCCTTCACACCCAAAGCATGTGGTCCCCTTAAGAAAGGGTGTGCCACATAAACATGAAAGAGCCCTGGGTGATACGGAACGCATGCGAGGTGTTCCTACTGCACCAAGAAGGCAGGGTGGTGTACTACTTACGGGCAGCACAGCCATCGTGTTACATAAACAGACAAGGTGGAGCTCGATCTCCAGAACTCTGCGTAGAGGCGATGTGGCTCTGGGAGTTTTATGTCCTGCATGTGTCACACCGGAAGCCCACCACTCTTAGCAGAGAGTTCTCGCCACGAGTTTGCACTCCACCCTGAGGTGACTGCCTCCCTCTTCTGAGACTGGACATATCCCCTAGTGGATCTCTTCGCGACACAACACAAAGCAAAGTTCAGTTGGTTCAGTTCCAGGTTTGGCCTCGAGCAGGACTCTCTGCCAGATGCATTGCTGTTCAGATGGTTGGAAGGCTTCCTGTACACCACCTTTCCATTTCCACTCATAGGCAAGGTCCTTCGAAAGGTCAAGAGGGATAAGGCGATGGTCATCCTCATCATGCTGGCCTAGCCTGGCCAGCTCGTGTTTGTGGCACTAATGAACCTGGTGTCGCATTCAGAAGGCTGCTGCTGAGGCCCCTGCTATCTCATAACCAAAGTTGACCACTTCACCTGCGCCTTAGCTCGCTCCACCTGACAGTGTGGTTCATCTGTGGCTGAACCTGCAGGAGCTGGCATGTTGGGGTGTTGTACAGCAGGTCCTCCTTGAGAGGTGTAAATCCTCAGTGCACAACACGTGCGCAGCTAAATGGACCCGTTTCTCCCTATAGGTGTGGCAAGGTGGGTGGTTCCGGATGAGGCCTCCCTTTAGCCAATCCTGGACTATCTACTGCCCCTGAAGCAGCAGGGCCTGTCCACGGCCACGGCCGCCATATCTAATTTTCGCCTGCTGCTTCAAGGTCAATCAGTTTTCTTCCATGGGGTCACCTCTCAGTTCCTTAAGGGGTCTGCGGAGACTCTAACCCCAAGTTAAGGACCCTCTCCTGCAGTGGGACCTGAACCTGGTCCTGACAAAGCTCCTGGGTTCATTTGAGCCACTAGCCATGTGCACCCTGTCACTACTCTCCTTCAAGGTAGCTTTCCTGATTGCTGTTACCTCAGCCAGAAGGGTGTTGGAGTTCCGAGCGCTAACGTTAGAACTTCTGTATACCCCGTTCTTCAGACAAGTTCCAGCTTTGGCCACACTGGCCTTTCTTCCCAAGGTGGTCTCCACCTTCCCCATAGGCCAGGACATTTTTTCTGCTAGTCTTCTACCCCAAGCTTTATGCAAACAATGGGGGAGAAACGCCTCCATGTGCTGGGTGTGTCGGGCGCTGGCTTTCTATCTGGAGAGGACACAGGCCTTTCTCAGTTCTACGTAGCTCTTTGTGACCTATGCAGAGCACCAAAGGGGTTTCCCTATCTCCTCCCAGTGACTGTCTAAATCAGGGGTGGCCAACCTGTGGCTCTTCAGAAGTTAATATGTGGCTCCTTACATAGGTACCAAATCCAGGGCTGGAGCTACAGGTGCCAACTTTCCACTGGGCCTGCGGGTGCTCACTGTTCAACCCTCAGCTCTGCCCTAGGCGCTGTCCTCCTCCACCCTTTCCGCCTAGGTTCCTGCCACTTCCTACCCTCTCCACTGAGCCTGTCACACCTGTGCTTCCCCCTTCCAGTGTATCCCACTGAGAGCTGATCAGAGGGTAGGAGGAAAAGGAGGAGGGGCACATGAGCAAAGGAGACGAGCAGCATGGACTCAACCAAAGCAGGAGCTAACATCTTGATTATTAATGAGATGATGATGGGTAGAGAGGGGATACGTTCTGAAGGGCCATGAAAGTGAAGACTTATGTTTGATATGTTAGAGAAGGGGGGTAGAGGAGTAATGCAGATTCATTATGGAGGTCAAAGTGAAAGGCTAAGAAATTGATCTTAGCAGCAGCATTTTCAATGGCAGTATGCAGAGCAAGATTGTATCTGAAGCTAGAGATGTACAACCTTATATGCAGTTTGGCAAAACTGACATTGCTATAGAAACCTCTTTTTTTTTTTTTGTCTGTTTTCTCATCTGAAAAGGAGTAAATGGATTTGGTTCAAAACTTCCAAAATTGTCATCTTTGTTTTGAGACATAACTTAATTTGAGCCAAAAGGAATGTTTGTGAAAGCTGAGAATGAACTTGATATTTTTTCCTTAATTTCAGAGTTGACATATAGACGATAATCCTGAATGCCAAAAGTTCATTAACTTTCTCAGGCTTTCAAGGTTGCTACAACTTTAGAATGTAGTATATTGTTGTTGATACATTTGCTTTTGGTAGAGGATGTTAGAGCTGGTGCAGCAAGAACATTCATTTAAACAATTCATTATATGAAGACAATTTTAAAAAGTAACTAATGGATTTTCTATTTAATTTGTAGTGTTAAATTCAGGAAGCATGTTTCTGCATGGCAGAGCCTGCCACCTAGGAGTGATGACTATGTGAGACTATCCTTGCAATTGAAGTGGCTAAATGAGTTGTTTTTTTCAGTTGAAGGGCAGCTTCACAAGAGCTGATCATGCAGATTCCACTCAGTGTTCTTAGTTTATCTCCCCAGGCTCCAGATGATTCTGATATGACCTGGTTTCATTTACTGTGCAGAAATGCAGAACACTTCTTGAAGAGCAGTATGCTTTATATAGGTTCCTCAAGACACACTTTTTTTACAATGGGAGTTTAATAAACTAATTTAGGGTTAGTTTCATTTTAAAAATTATTGGGTCAGTTACTGAAAAAGTGAGCGATTTCCCTAAATAGAGCTCATTTTGCAGGTGATTTGTATGATAGAATATTGGAGAAGTCTTTCCATCTTTCTCTGTGCAAGGTATGTTCTATTTCCACTTGAGATTTCAGACTGTTGAGGTCATAGGACATAGTATTAACATGTGCATACATGTGACGGATTTCATCTTCTTTCTCAGAAAGCTAGATAATTGAAAGGGGAAAAAAAAGTTAGTATTGATTCTGTATCATATAGTCTCAGGCCTAGATAGAGATCTTGTCCTAAAACTTTATTCTAGTGTGGATGAAATTCCGTTTGCAACAGTACACAAACGGAACTGGTGTAAATGTTACCAGTTCCTAAAAATCAACTCAGTAATCCATAACAATTAACCCTACTTGTCAAATTAGCAATAATCTTTTCTTTCAAGCTGCTGCAAAGCACATAACTGTAATGGATCCCTTACTTCTGTGTTACATCTTTATATAAAGAGGATATAGTGTAAACCCAGGCCTGGGCAAAATACCTTCCATTGGCTTGCTCTGGCCAGCGGATGCAGTGGGGAACTTCAGGCAGACTACCTGATTTCCCATCTCCCCCTCCGCATGCTGCTGAAGGAAGCTGATGCTGGGTTCTGTTTGAACAGCTATGAGCCTTCATGTGCTGCTCCCACCCCCAGCACAATCCCATTGGCCTGTTTCTGGCCACTGGGAGCTGCCTGTTGTCAACAGGAAGTTTGCAAAGCACTTGCCCCTACCCCCACACTTGTAGCTATTCAAAAACCACATGGTCCCTGTAGCCAGGGCAGGCAGGCAGTTGGTTTGAGAAGGCTGCTGGCTGGGAGTCAAGCAGATAAGTCTTTTTGTCTCCTTACCCCACATAATACCAACCCTCTGCCCCACCTCCTGCTCCATATCTTCTCCCAGATCCTGCACCCCAATCCCGTGTCTCAAGTCACAACCCAAACTCACTGCCTCCTCCTGCATCTCCGTCCCCTGCGCCAAGTCACAACCCCCTCTTGCCTAAGGTCACAACCCAAACCTCAGCACCCTACTCCCCTAACGCTGGTCACAACTACCTCCTTCACCCAAACCCCACACCTTCTCCTGCATCCCACTTCCTTCCTACAAGATCCCTTCTGCACACTGCTTCCATCCCAGACCCCTCACTCCCTCCATTGATATGGAAGAGTGCAGCTCTTGACCACTTACCAAAATCTTGGCATGTCCCCCCCCCCTCAAGAAATTATTGCCAACCCCTGGTGTAAAACAAATTTCTCTAAACTGTTCTGGGTAAAGATGATTACTCTCAGAACTACACAATGAAAGGTATCCATTTGCCCAGGTTCTTCCTAATTTTTTCTTTATTTTGAATGAGATGAAAGGGCAAGAAAACAATACCAAATGTGAAATCTAGAGCTTTGTGTGTCTGAACTATACATCTTATTAAAGTGGAGTTTCTTTCTTGGATTTCTTGCACTTTCCTAAGCATCTCAAAGTTGGAGAGAGAATACTGGTCTGGTAATGGCAGTTACTGTTAATATACCACATAGTGGTGCATGTTGTGATAGACTAACAGGTCTGCAACAATAAGGGCTGTTGTTCCATTTTATAAATCTGATTTTTGGCTTTGGTTAATGGCTTTGTTCAAACAAAGCAGGTGTCCTGTTATCACAAGGAACAACTAACCTTTTTTACATTTTTATGAACCGTGTTCAAAACATTTCAGGTACATCCCTGACCCATCACCCTTGCCAAGTTGAATGTCCCTACTGCAAAGCATGAGGGTACTTGAGCGTCTTAACCTAATAATTGTTTTGCCCACGTTAATTTTTTTACAGTAGTGTTTCCCCAACCTCATTATGAAAAGTATTTAGGCTGTTTTTGCTGAAAATTTCCCCCAAAAGTTGAGCTTAAATAGATGTCATAAGGAGAAGTTCAGCCCACAACATTAATCTGGCAAAATTATAAGTGATTGAAAAGTGGGTCTTCTAGAAAGTCCCAGTCTATCTTGTAACTACAAGTGTTGCTACCTGCATTGCTTATCTGAAGCCATGTTCTAAATACTCCAAATTTACATCAGGGTAAATAAGAAATGTAGAGAGTGATGCCACTTGCATTGATGTAAGCATGGAAAAGAGAATTGTAGCTGTCTGTCACTAGGTATGGTTTTAAATGATCTCTTCATATTATTCTATAGTATTGTCATTATAAAGGAGGATGACTCAACTGTAAGGTACAAATTCTACCACTTGTTTTTTAAGAAGCAGTGAATTCATGTACCTGTTGATGTAACTGAGAAATGTGTTCTACCAAATGAGTTTTTTCTGTTCGCAGCTTTGAATTTTCCAGTTGAGCTCTTGACCATCTTCTTTCTAAATCTTGTAGCTGGCTCTGAAGTGACTGCCCGTTTAGATCTACAGATTTCCTTACTTGCTGGAGATGTAGTACCTATTGATGCAATGAATGGACAGTTGGCATTTAAATTTCCAAAGGAAAATTTGACAAACTGATATGTCTTTCCTGTGGCTTCAGGTTGCTCAGCAATCTAATTTCTGTAGGTAGGTAATCCTAATATTTTGTATTCAGAATAATGTAATGGTTGACTATAATTCAATAATTTAAATCTCATATAGTAGAAAGTCAACAGCCAGTGAAAATGCAAGACACCCACCCTTTTTTCCGAGGGATAGTTGTGTGAGTATCTGCAAAAATGAGAAGTCCCATGGCACCTTAGGGTGTGCCTACAGTGCAGGGCTTACTTTGAAATAAGCTACACAAATTGAGCGATGTCAATTGCATATCTTAATTTGAAATAGGGAGCATCTACAAAGCACTTATTTCAAAATAGAGCTTCTTCCAACTGCCTTTATTCCTCATACAATGAGGATTACAGGAGTCGGAGTAAGAAGTCCTCCAGCTTGACAGTATTTTGATGCTATATTTCAAAATAACTTCCTGCTGTGTAGATGCGCGGACTAAGTTATTTCAGAATAGCGCTAGTTCTTTCAAAGTAGTCTCTAAAGGGGTGTCTACACTGCAATACTAACAGATTTATTAGGGCATAAATTTTCATGGGTAAAACCCACTTCCACTCCAATTCATCTGATGAAGTTACAGAACACAATTCTATATAGTGTAAATGAGGCTAATCAAGTCAAGTCAGGGTAGAAGTGGCTCATTCTCAGCATTTGGTGTGGTGATGTGAATATCAAGAGGAGAAATTGCCTTCATAGTGCATTAATCAGTTAAGATCTTTATTCAGTCCTAAATTGATTATATTGAATTTGCAAATGAACTTCAGGTCAGCTTTCTCCGTTTGTAATTGGGTTTGAATTTTTTTAAATAAAAGGATGGCTACTTTCAAATGTCCAGGCTGTTCCCCTTCATTTTTTGCTATACTCTCGCCAAAAATTTCCCCCCAAAAAATAACATTTCTGGTTGTCCCAGGGAATTTTGTTTGTCTTGGAGTGTAAATGTCATGGGGTAACATTGATTTGTTTTTACAAGACTTAAAGATATTGTCTATACTCAACAAATAAGCTTCTTTTGTTAGTACTCCCATTTCTCCTTCCTCTATCTTGCATTGCCCAGTCACCATTGCATTATTTAGGTTTAAAAAAAATTATAAATTCAGCTATTTAAAGGTGATGGATAAACAACGGACTTGTCAGAAGTAAGACATAGTGCAAGCCTTATTAAATAACTTACCCACAAAAATTCAGTTTTGTATTATGTTGCTAGTGTGCGCGCTGTTTGTGAGTACCTTTTTTTTTCACCCGGGGAGAACTTATACATTTTACTTTACCTGAAATTCAAAAAGGTTTTCAGAATGACCATCCCAGAATTGTGCACAAGCGTCTTAACCAATTCATACACTCTTATGATTACATGTGCAAATAAAGATGTTTGCATGTACAGTGAGTTCTGACTTGTATCCAAATGCAGTAATTGAAGACAATCGCCAATAGATTTGTGCGGGCACAGTTCTGAAAATCAGCTCCACGATACTCAGACTGAATCGATAGTAACAGAACTTATACTAATGAGTAGCACAATTGTATTTGCATAATCTAAAACTAGTCAAATAACTGAAGATTTGTACATATTTTTAACCTATATTGCTCTCAACTTAGACATCACTGATGATATTCATGAAAATATTTTAGTTCCTCATTTGTATTAAGACTATTATCATCACTTACAGCAAATGCTAGTGAATAGCTCGTGTGACAGTTTGGACTCACCTTTCAGAGGACAAGGTGCAAGTTGTTCATAAACTATTCACTGAATACTTTTGAGTGCTAAATTAATTCAGAGGTCAGAATGGTTAGTGAATTATTTGCAAACCAAAAAATCCCCCTTGATGAAATTGTTGATTTGCATACTGTTTTGGAACAGCTCTTTCAAGCAGTCAGGCTATAATATGAATGTATGTACTACGAAAAATACATTTTTGTAGTATAATTCCACTATCTTCATACGCTATAATGGCAAATGGAATTTAGGATTTTTTTAACTTGAACAATTTCCTTTTATACCAAAGGATCTCTACGTATTTATAGAATGTGCATGTAGAATATCGATTTTTGGAAGGCTAAGGGATTGATTCACCTTGTTGGAATTGGAACTTTTGTGCACAGGAGTCTAGATATTTCAAATGTGAGCTCTATACAACTCCAGCATCCATTCCAATATTATACAAGGGCTATCTTAATGCAATATAAACCTAAACTGGCAACCTGTTACCAATCACATAGGTCAGGTTTTGATTTTTTAAGCTCTTTTTTTAAGCTCAGAAATTTTATTGAAAATATTAATCAGAAATCTAACAAGGGAGAAAATTTAATCTGTCACTTGAACTTCAGCTTTTTAAAGGTGTTGAGATACCATGGGATGAATATTGTATTTAGTGTGATGAATTTGAGAAACTCAAACCAATATGCAATACCTGTTCTTGTGCAGCAAGAGCTTTCTGTCTTTCATCCTGCAGTAGTCTCTTCAGGTAAGTGAGCTCCATCTCAAGTTGTCGTTCTTCTTCCTTTTCACAGGCTAGCTCAGAAATCCTCCTTGTATGGCAGCTGCTTTCCTTCTCTCTCAGCTGCCTCTCCTGTAGGAAATCATGCATTAAAGCCTTATGCCTAGTTTAACTCTGACTTGAGCAGAAGTTAGAACTTACACTCACAAAATCCCCTCTTACAGATGTGCTTGTAGATAGTGCTTGAGAACTTCATGTAAATGTTTTGCATGTACACCAATGGAGGACACCTATGGAGAGGATGAGCTTTTTACATTCAACATGGTAAGAGTAACATTAACTAATGTTAATCACATTTTGAGGCACAGCTGAATCTTGAAAGGGGCCAAATGTAGGCCTGACATAAGTTACTGGCCTTATTCCTTAACGAGCATGATTGGGAAGATGAATGGAAGATTTATGTCGTAAATAGGGACTTGACAAGCAGTATGCTGGAGTCAGGATGTCTGTGCTAGCTAAGATAAGCCAATGCTTGGAACAATGCATAAGATAAACCTGCAATGTAAAGATCAGAGTTACCATGAACAGAGCATGCTATAGAGGGATTGGTTCCTACAAAGTAACCAAGCCAGTTTGCTGTACATCAAATTACAGTAGCTGAGTGAGGAAATAGGGAGTTTTTGGGAAGCTAAGTGGAGAGGTCTTGGAGGCAATATCAGTGTAGTAGGTGCCATGACTAAGATTCATCTGTCTGGAGCAGGTAACATATAATTGATTATATGCATAGGTAGTTTTATCATGAGCAATGGTGTTTGGGTGGGTTTAAATTTTGAGGTGGTTTCCAGGGCACTGGAGGAGCGGGTTAGAGCTAAAGAAGGAGAATCCTATGGACTTCTGTAGGGAAGTGATAATGGGAGTCTAGAACTGGATGGAAAAGGAACTCCAGCAAATAGTATTAGACAAAGAATGCAAGAATAACACCTAAAAATCATACTCTCAACTAAACAGAAATTCAAGGGAATAGAGCAGAGGTTCTCAAACTTTTGAAAGGTTTGTGGACCACCAGCCAACCACCTAAGATGACAAAATGGGTGCAAGAGAGGGTGGGGATGTGAGGTGTGGGAGGGAGGATAAAGGCTGAGGGCTTGGGCAGGAGGGAGGGGTGCAGGAGTGAGTTGGGTGGGATGGGAGTGTGTGAAGGGGATGGTGTAGAGATCTAGGCATGATGGGGATGGGCGTATGCGTACCTGGCTCTATGTCCCTGCTCGCCACTACCAGGCACTGTTCTCCATTGCTACCATTGGCTGGGATTCCGGCCAGTAGGAGCAGTGGGAAAAGCCTCCAGGTGAGTGGTTTCCTGTGCTGCAGTTCCCCCAGCTGGGGATAGGAGGAGTAGAAGTGAGTGGAGCCACTTCCTGCCCCTACAAGCTGGAGCTAGCCCATGAGGCCCAGGGCTCCCCCACTCCTCAACGGTGGGAAGACCGCACTGGCACTCGAAACTCAAGGAGGGGGGAGGGTGCGAGACTGGCACGCTGGCACTCTTCAGCCCCAACTGCAAGACAGTCATACCACATTTGAGAACCACTGGAATAGAGGGAGTACTGGGAATACCTATATAACAGAATGCTTACCAGAGCACAGAAAAGGTCTGAGTGCCACTGAAATTTTAAAGACTAAGACCTATCGGTGACAAGGGAAAGCACTAATTGCAGGTAAAGAGTGAGTGTAAAAAGCACATTGAGAGCGCTGTGGAGAGAAGTCTGCTGAGAAATGTCACACTAGCGATAGGTCTGCACTACAGTTTTTTCAATTTTTTGGGAGAGGCTTTTCCGAAATTTAGCCCGTCTACACTGGGCCAAATTTTGGAAAATCCCCCTCTTTTGGAAGATCTCTTCTTTTTCATGGAGTGAGAGAGACCGGGCTTCCGAAATAGCACGTTTGCACTTCCGCAAAAAAAAGCAGTTGGCTTGACTGGGAAGGTGAATGGAAGGTTATATAATAAATAGGAACTTATAACAAGGCAAGTGCTGGAGTCAGGATGTCTGTGCTAGTCAAGATAAGGAAGAACCACCCTGGTGCTAGGGACAATGGACAAGTAAAACCTTGAAATGTGAAGACCAGCTAATACACGAACAGTGCACAATTGAGCGTGCTATACATAGATTGGTTCCTACAAAGTAACCAAACCAATCCCAAAATGTGATGCAGTTTAATGTGTAAATGTCAGTAAAGCAAGAGGTTTTCTGAGTAACTTTTCATATGTGGTATGCTGCATACCCAGGTCCTGCTCTTGAGTCTGATAAACTCTGTAGCTTTGCTCTGTGCCACATAAAGATACTAGAATAAGGGAATCTGGAGTTGAACTGAGTTTTGGGAACCTTAGTGGAAAGTGGTCTTGGAGGGAATCTCAACACACCAGTTCCAAATGAGGCTGCTATGCAATCTTTACTACTACTGAGCATAGTACAGCATAGCCACTCCAGAGATGAGTGTTAGATTTACTGGTTCCAGCTGATTATACATTTTGTGTTTTTTAAAGAGATTTTAAAAAACCCACACTTTTTAAAAACAGTTTTTACCCTCTCAGGTTAGCCATTTTTTGCTACTTGCTGTTCAACAGCCTTATTCTTTTTAGCATATGTGCAGTGCGTGTGCCTCAGGTGGAAATGGATCATTAATTTGGTTCACTAGTTGGATCATTAGCTTCCCTGGCTTGAGCTGGGTCTTGATAGGAAGGGCAATGTGAACTATGATGTATGCCCCCATAGCCTGATTTAAAACAAACCTTAAAACCCAACTTACTCTATCTAGGTGTCTGGTGGCTTCCAGAACTTGAGACTGTAAGAGACCATTTTCTTTTGTCAGATATCCACAATCTTCTGCCATCTTGTAGCGTAGATATTTATCCTCATCAGCAGAAAGTTCTTTTTCTTTGAGCTGCTGTTTTAGTTTTTCAGTTTCTTCACTAAACAAAAATACTTCCAATGTTAGCACTAAATTCAATATTGCTGATGTTTTATAAGAAGCAATGTTACTTTACTAGTTTTACTGACTTCAAAGTCCGATCTAAACTGCAGTTAGCTCCTCTTCTGTGGGAAAGTATATGCAGTTCAAAGTCTATTACAGAAGTTGTAGTCCTACAAGTCCAGAAAAACTAACTTGTGCCTCTTGAGTTGGCTTGATGTTTTGGTAACGTTTGAAAGAAGACCAGCTTGTTTTTCTAATCCATTTATACTGATTACTGCACTATCCAGTCTCTCTTGTGCTGCTGTTCTCAGGCATACACAGTCCAATTCTGAGCTTGAATGGCTCACAAGATTAGGTGTAAGAACCTTTTACTTTCTTAATATGAACCAGTCTTAATTCCCTGTCACCAAAGCATCTTGGTGCTGTACACCAGAATAAGTGACACCAACCCATTCTTAATCTGATTCACTCACTCCAAAAAATCCAACACATGAGGACACAGTAGAGAAAAGTGAGCCTCCTACCTCCCTCTATATAATCCCTCAATCTTCCCAGGATTAAGGACAATATAGAGGGCCTCAATTCTCTGGAACTGGCCACTGTAGACCTGGCATAACCTCAGCCCCATAAATTTGATAGTTATTCTCTACATCAGTGGTCCCCAACCTTTTTAAGTGTGAGATCACTTTTTGAATTTTAAGTGCAATCCAGGATTTACCTGAAACCCAAACATTCTTGCCCCCCTCCTTCCCATCCCTTCTGAGGCTCCACCCAGCTCACTCTCTCCTTCATTCCCACTCACTTTAATCAGGCTGGGAGCAGGGGTTTGGGGTGTAGGAGGGGCTCAGGACTAGGGCCGGGGTTTGGCATGTGGGCTCCAGCTGGGCACTGCTTACCACAGGTGACTTTTGGGTGTTGGTGTAGTGGAGCTAAAGCAGGCTCACCCCTACCCTGGCCCTGCACCACTCCCAAAAACAGCCGGAAAACTCTCTCCATCCCTAACCCTCTGTGCTCTGGGGAGATGTGATACAGGGTGGAAGGAGGGGCACCCTGACATTAGCACCCCCTCCACTTCCTCCTGTGCCCTGCACAGCAAGCAGGAGGCTCCCAGGGGTGAGGGTCACCTCCAAGGCAGAGGGCAGGAGCAGCACGGCAGAGCTGAAAAGGGCAGATGAAGTGCCAACAGTTGATAGCCTCCTGGCCAAACCTGTCAGGATCACCTGTCAAAGGTTCCAAGATCTACCAGTAGATCCCGATCTTCTGATTGGTGATCACTGCTCTACATGATGAAAGCTTAGCTCTTAGCACTACAATTTGCAACTCCTCAATGTAAAGAATAGGCAAAACTATGAACTTTCCTCATACTTCTATGAAGTCAGTGTGGAGAAGCTTAAATTGTTCTGTCTGATGCTATACCTGGATAAACATTTCTTGAACACCAAATTCACTTTTTAGATTCCCCAAATAAATGTAAATGGCTCTCTGCATGTGCCATGATGTCAGTTTTGCTATCAAGGATCCTGTTGCCACTGGAAAGTGCAGATGCTCAGCACTTCCAAACAATGCACGCGCGCTCTCTCTCTCCTCCCCCTTCACTAGCTATTGAAATAAGTAAATCGCCGGCTCTGCATATGTTCTTACCCAAGTTCTTTAGCAATATGCTGCTGTACAGCCTTGGAGCTAGTAAGGTATTTCTCCTCCAGCTGGTGAAGCAACGCCTGCACTCTTACACATTCTGATCTATTTTCCACAAGCTTTGCTTCCATATCCTGGTGTTGCTGCATCTGTTGGAGGAGCTGAACACAACAATGCAGAGATTAAAGATACAGTGAGCATATAAAAATACCTCTTCCAATTTTTTAATTTTTTTTCTAAATTTTTTAATCTAATATTGGAAGCACAGGTGGTATTTCTGGGAAACAAAGGGTGCTCTGAATAGTTCTGTTAGCACCTGTTGTAAGTATTCTGTAGGCCACAGGTTCTTATCTTTGGGTCACAGACAGGTCTGGTGGTGAGTCACCCTTTTCTTTTAATCATTAAATGGAAGAGGGTCACAAACACTTGCACACTAACATGAGGGTCATGAGATGGTAAAGGCTGAGGACCACTGCTCTAGAATTCTATAGACAATTTTCATTTCTTCAGTGGGGATAATACTTCATAAGGTATTGTGAGGTTTGTGTTCATCAAAGTACTTTGATTGCCATGGAAAAGCATGCTAAATCCAAATGTGTTACTGCCTGTGTGAGAAGTGATAAAGATAGGGTTCAAAATGCCCTACAGTAGTGGGGCCTCTGGTCAGAAAGGGCTCAGACTACCAGGGATTGTGATGCGATTGTGAATGTTTATTCTCCTTTGCTGTGTGCTGACCAAGAGCGCGCTCTCATAGGTGAGCAGCTTGGAGAATCAGGATATACCCTCTTTATCTTAGTATTGGGATACAGCGCAGATTAGGTTTCTCATTTTTTTTTCTTTTCTTTCTGTTCTACAAAAGACTCCAGTGGACGTTTTAAGAGGTCTAAGGAATCTGGGCATCCAAATCCCACTATCAATGGGAGTTGGGTACCTAGCTTTCTTGTATCCTTTCAAAATCCTGAGCTCCTCCTCAGACTACATGGGCTAATTTTTGAAACTTCTAGTGGCCGTTGCGTTTCTTTACAACAGAACTCTTGTTTGTACAAAAGAAACGTTTGGGAGATGTGAGAAAAGAAGCCGTCTCTAAGTCTTAGGTAGAGCTGGACAAGAAGCTCTGGGAGACAGACCCATAGTCTCCTATAGACAACCACCTAACCTCAAGATGATTCTTACCAACAACCACAGGACATACCACACTAATACCAACCCTGGTACCTTCCCTTGCAACAAACCCCGTTGCCAGCTTTGTCCACATATTCACTCTGCTGACACCATTATTGGGCCTAACCAAGTGAGTTACAAGATCAAGAATACATATTCCTGCGCCTCCAGAAATATAATCTATGCTATCATGTGCCGAAAGTGTCTGTCTGCAATGTACATTGGACAAACGTCTCAGACACTTCGCCAAAGAATCAATGCCCACAAAACAGACATTAGACAGGATCACAAAGAAAAAACAGTTGCTTGTCATTTCAACCAGAAAGGACACTGTCTCAATGACCTGCTAACCTGCATCCTACTTCAGAAGACATTCAAATCTGCACTTGAAAGGGAATCCTCTGAACTGACATTCATGCTAAAATTTGACACTCTCCGCGGGGGGCTGAACAAAGACTCCAGCTATCTTACCCATTACAAAGATAGCTTCCCCAATTATCACCTCTAATACTATTAACTCACAGACATCTACCCTTCCCCACCTCTAATATCATTAACTCACCCCTCGCCCTCCCCCCCCCTCCCCCCCCCCCCCCCCCCATCCCGCTTCTGTTCTGAAATGTGATTTGTCCTTTTCATGTGTTCTTTTTTTTTTAAATTGTATCCTTTGGTATATATGGCTGTGACTATTTTCTTCCACTATTTGATCTGAGGAAGTGGGTCTGGCCCACGAAAGCTCATCATCTAATAAACCAGTTAGTCTTTACAGTGCTACATAGTCCTGTATTTTGTTTCAGCTACACCAGACTAACACGGCTACATTTCTATTTCAATTCACTGATAAGCAATGGTTGGGGGGGAAAAGTGTGGCAGGACACTTATGTTTGCAATACAAAAATGCAAGAATCTTTTGAATAAAAATTAGAATAATCCTTCTGAAAATACTTTTTTCCCTATTTCCCCTCACATTCCCGGCTATCTCTATCCCTTATGGTTGGTATTGGCAGGAGCTTAAAGGTAACTTTTTAGATTTTGGTAAATAACTAAATCAGTATTTATAAGTGACAGCAGCAAGTCATGGGATTTTGTGTTTGGGACTATCAGTGATAGACCTGCAGTTCAGCGAGAACAGGGATTTTTTAATTAGGCAGACAGAGGCGCATAACAAGATCAATGGCTCTAAGCTAAAGCGCAAATTCAACTTCAAAACAAGGCACAATCTTTCACAGTGATGGTAACTAATCATTGGAACAACTTACCTAGGGATGTAGTGCGTTCTGCAGTGCATGAAGACGTAAATCGAGGCTGAATATCTTTCTAAAAGGTATGGTCTAGCTCAAACAGAAAACATGATATAGGAAACCCTTGGTGACATTCTATGGCTATCTTGAGTCAGACTAGAATTTGACTTGAAAATTTTATGATTTTGAGTGTTGATATAAAGGTTTCAAGTTTCTCATTACAGTGAACCCTCGTTTATCGCGGTAGATAGGTTCCAAACCCGACCGCGATAGTTGAAAATCCGCGAAGTAGGGACATGTATATTTAACATGTATACAGCGAGCCCTCGCTACTTCGCGGTTCGACCATCGCGGATTCACGACTTCGCGGACTTTTTTCATTACATTATGTATATACGTGAATCCGCGATGGTCGAACCGCGAAGTAGCGAGGGCTCGCTGTCTTGCTGTGTAAATAATATTTTTAAAAATCAACTACAGGCAGTCCCCGGGTTACATGGATCCGGGTTACATCGGATCCCTACTTACAAACGGGGTGAGGCAGCCCCGCACTAGCTGCTTTCCCCCAGCAGACCAGGGAGACGCGGAGCGGCTTTTCTCAGCAGACACCTCAGCTTGAGAATAAAGGACTGAGGGAAGTGAGGTGTGGGAGAATAAAACTGAGCTCTGGAGAAATGTTTGGCTAGAGTTTCCCCTACAATATGTACCAGTTCCTACTTACATACAAATTCAACTTAAGAACAAACCTACAGTCCCTATCTTGTACGTAACCCGGGGACTGCCTGTAATCTAGTTTCAAAGAGTTGAGAAAAATGTCTTTTTCAGGGGATTGTCAATATACATTCTTGTTTGTTGTTCCAGCCCTTGTCCTGACTTTTATATTGACAGATCTGTATAGCATGGAGTACAGTGGGGATTTATGTCCTACAGCTGTGAATCTGATGCAGAAGTATGCTTCAAAATATAAACTTTATAAAATAAATCTAAAACTTATCTTCTACAACATGAACTACCACTGCAATCTGCAAACAGGCAGAATAAGACAGTAGCTTTTAATTGTGGACTGGTGCTCTTGTGTTTAACATGACGTTAATATTTAAGCCTCACAATGACTATTTAAAACTCACATGAATTAGCCCCAGTTGTTTCTAGACTACCTTGATTATTTAAATGACTAATCCATTTCTAATGTAGCTCTTCAACTATCATGTTTTATGTGGGCAAACTTTTCTTTATTTTGTTTGTGGTACTAGTACTGAGTCACCGCTCTCACATGTTACTCTTTGCAGCCAAAGATTCCTAAATAACCGCTAAATAAAGGAGACCATTTTTCATTCCAGGTTCTTCACCCTCATTTTTAGAACTTTTGAATAAAATCCAGTCTTTCTGACCTAAATCCTGATTAACCAAAAGCAGACTTGTCCTGTGAACTTTGTTGAATCATGGTGCTGAACTACATTGAAGACACAGCCTGTATATGTGTGTCTAAAATTAAGCATGTGGTTTAAGGGCTTTGCTGAATTATGGTTATAAAGCTAAGGTGGCAAATAGAGGGAGCACACAATCCAGACTGCACATCCTGGATTATGCTAAACTGTTGACCAGTTCAGTAGGACTTAGTGCACTGAGACTTAGATACCGAAGTTCTTTTTGTATCTGTAATCTGCAGAACTATCCAGCAGGAGTTGAAGTCCTGCTAAGCTAATACTCATGAGAAACTCCACTCCAGGTTGTCAGTTTTGGGAGTTCATTGACACTTTCAGGTGTCCACAAAGACTGCTATATGGGGGGAGAGATTCTGATCAAGAGAAATGAGATCTAATTACACTGTGTGGATGTCTTCCAAAGGAAATACGAAAGCTTTCTCTGGTACAAGTGCTTTCAAATTAGGCTAAATAGGGCAGAAGTGGATTGGATGACTATCAGGTATTCCCCATTTCTAACATCTAAGCATCTGAGAGTTTGCTGTGTAAATTTAATCCATGAAAAGAAGTATTTAGCTAGGATTACTTACTTGGTTTTCCCAATGATGGATATCATGTTCTTTTTCTTTAACAGAATTCATGGCTTTCTGTAGTTCTTGTTGGACTCTTAGTAGCTCTGCTTCTTTGTGTGAAATATCCTGATTGACAATCTCAGCCAGTTTCTTCAGCTTTGTGACATCCTCCATTAATAAGAACTTTTCTCTAGTATTGGCAGCTGTGTGAAATACCAGTCTTTCAGATGGTAGTTTCATAAACTGAAATCTGTACCCTTTCCATCTTCACAGTGGCTTCTGAAACTGTGTAGTAGTTTGCTCAAATGACTAGTGGTTAAAAAGATGATTCCCTAACAATCTGATCTAGAAAAGGGATGTGAACGACTAGTCTACTATCCAGTAAGCAAATGTTTATCAGATAATCAACACACTAGTCACTCCTTCCCCTCCCCCTTGTTGTTTGTCAGAAAGCTCTTCAAAGCGGCAGCACCCTGTGGAGCCCGGGGCCAGACCCTGGACTCCACGAGGCGCTGCTGCTTTGAAACGCTGCATGCAGCTCAGGGCCAATTGGAGAGTCCCTAGCTGGCCCTGGGCTGCAGGTGGCATTTCAAAGTGGCAGTGCCATGTGGAGCTCGGGGACAGCTGGGGATTCCCCCACTGAACCTGGGCTCTATGCAGTGCTGCAGCTTAAATGCTGTAGGGAGTACAGGGCCGGTGGGGGACTGCTTGAATCCTCCTCTGGCCCTGTGCTCCCCACAGTGCTTTCACCTTTGAAATGTAACAGCAGCCTTGGGACTGTTGCTACACATGACAAGGGGGTCCTCCGCCTTTGGACTAATCCATTACCCAATTGCATTGACTATTCAGTTACCCAGTTAATCTAAATTTAAAAAAGAATTCTCAATCTTTTTCTGTGAAACCTTCCCAACATGCTGTAAGAGCTCCACAACCCATCAGTAACACAAGTGGCTTTTTTGCACATAAAAACTAGGGGTAGCAAGCTGTGAGGCCTCATGTGTCAGAGGTTCCCATAAAACTAAGTTGCTCAAGCTTCTGCTTCAGCCCCAGCTGGCAGGGCTAGGAGCTCTGGGCAATAGCTCCACAAAGTAAGGCTTAGCTTTCTGCCCTGGGCCCTAGCAAACCTAACAGTGGTCCTGCTTGGCACCCCCCTGAAATCTGCTTGTAGCCCTCTGCCTTCCTTATCACTCCCCACCACCCGAGGACCTGGATCACTGGTGGAGAACCTCTGTTTTAGATGGTTAAATACGATGTAACTACAAATACTGTTGTTGATTTAAAAGCTCACTATTAATACTATAATAAATTGTAACAAATAATTTCTCTTATGCATGCAATGAACTCTCAAACTACCATTCTTCTTATGCAAATCCCTCTTTAAAATCTCTTCCATTTTACCTAAAAGAAGAGCGCTAACTTAGTCAGGCTCGCAATTAATGTATATGGAACTGGTAAGATGTGCATATGTCAAAACAAAAGAACCATAAGATTCTATTCCTTTCCCCAAGGGGCTATTCAGCAATAAGAACATGTGCCCACTGCAGACAACAAGTGTCATCAATGGATGGATCTCAGCTGGCTTAAACCAGGACTATTGTGCAATTAAAACTTCCAATTACTAAATAAACGTAATTATCATAAAATAGAAATAGCTACTGCTCTTAACTGTGGTCTTTGAAAATGGTGCTAACATGGGTTAATTGTCTGCCTCTGTGATTACAACATATTCTTCACTAGTTCAGCTGCACCTGTTACCCACAACAAGGCAACATTGTTCGTTACATTCACTAGCTGTCATGTATTTGATCAGATAGATGCCTTGCCTTTTCCCTTCTGTACATCTAGCACAACTTTGGCTTCTTTGTGAGCTTTTATCTAAAACAGACTATTTTCAAATATTCCAAAATAACACCTCCCCCCTTATTTCCACTGTATTCTACTTTCTTTTATGTAACACATTCACATACAAATTTGTTCAGGTTAGGTGTGAATTTATCTTAAGGATGAACTGTTGCATAAGTACCACACATTGGAATGATCCTTTACTACCTGACAAAGTTTGCAGATGTTCATGCGTGGCTTGATTTTCTGCCTTGAAAAACTTGGTGGTGTTCTCTTTCTTTCCAAGTTCCAGCTGAGCAGTATTTATTTCTGATTGTAATTCCTATAAATATAATAACAGCATAAGAATTTTTATGCACTCGTGTTTCAGGGTAATACAAATTTACTAATCTTGAGGGTGCTGACGGGGTTCCATACTTACACTAAAAAATAGTCAAAGGTTAAAAACTGAGGAGAAAAACGGGAAAAGAACATAATCTGAGGGAAAATAGGTAAGCATTAAATAATTAACAATAAAAACAAAGACTCCACTCTTATTGGATTCCTTCTTTACTCCCACACAGACTAACAGCTCCGCAGTGAGATTTTTCAAATACAAAGTGCTCCAGCTCCTATGAGCTGGCAGGGCCACTACGGGTTTGGCAATACTTTTGTTTCCCAGGTTAATGTTCAGTTTATGGTGGCCTTCAAGTAGGATTCCTTCAGATTTATGTAGGTACTTCCCTTATTAAGTTCTTAATCTGTGCACATTCATCACAGTACCCGTTTTATGTTTGAGGGAAGCATGTGTATCCACTGCTGTTGGCTTTTTTATTGTATAATACAAAAGCAGGATCCCATTTCATTGATCAGAGTCAACAATATTGAAGCTAAGATGACACTGAAATCATTTAAGCATGCCCAAAATCAGCAGCTGGCCCCAACACCAATCAGCCTTCCTGTTGTAATTAAGAGGCAGTAATGAAAACAAGTCTGTACAAATATCAACTTACTTTCAAGAAACTGTATAAACACCTCCTCTGCTACATATGTAACTGCAGGAGTCTGTATACTTACTATTCTCTTGTTAAATCACTGATGTTACTTCTGCCTATAAAATGCTTAATAAAGAAAAAATTCACCGGTACATACAAGAGTCCTTCAGTAAGTTTCTTCAGAAACTGGGATAGATACTTAGTGAACTCCTTCAGTGATGATTTTGTTGTACCAGTCCAACGTTACTCCTTCCAAACATTAACATTTTCTGCTTTCCATGGTGCACAACTTCTGCATGATACAGTTGCAGTCATTAGAGCTTTGGTTCCTCAAAGGACTGATGCAACCAGACACTTAGGCCTACCTGCAGCTGCTGAAGCACAAGGCCTTTTAAATTGGCATGCTGTAGGAAGCTCTGGGGCTGACCCTGCCCCTTTCTTCTGAGGCCTTGTTAACCCTCCCTGCCTTGCTGGAGTCCTATGGACTTCACTGAGACAATGCTGGGACATTAGAGGCATGGCTCTTTGCTAGAGTAGGCCTTGAAACTGATGGTCACTGGTGTGCTTTGTTCAAATTTCTCCAGGAAGTTGATCTGTTACATTGCCAGATAATATTGCTTTGGGATTGATAGGGAAAACTGAAGGCCATGTTCCTTGGTTTTCGTATAGTAAATCTGTAAGTGTTATTTGTCTCTTTTGGATTTGGTGTTAAACACATTGTACATGACAGATCAATATCTAATGACAAACCAAAAGGCAAAGCTATTGATGAGCCAGGCCATGTTTTAAATGGTTTACAGCCTGGTGGAACCTGGAACGCAAGGGCATGTCTCTCAGACTTTTAGGTCTGTCCTCAGCTGCACTTGGAAATCAATGGAATTGCATGGCGATAACTGAGGACAGAACTTGGTTTCCTAGATAC